ATATTGCTCAAATTGGGTATATGAATATACCACTGTGACCTACACAACCTCAGGATCATCCCCATATTTTTAAAATAATTTTTGGAGGTCTCACGCGCCCCCACGCGCCTGACGTGGCACGGACCTACGCGCCCCCACGCGCGGACACGTGTCGTGCACACTGACGGCACAGTAACGGTAGTTAGGGAATATTCCGTTAAATCCTAGCATATTCCGTTAATAATTAACGGCGTCAGTCAACGCCGTTAGCATATTCCGTCAAAACTGACGGAATATTCCCTGTCTTCTCCGGCGATTCGCCGGTCGCCGGCGACTGTTCGCCGGTTTCTGGAAAATTTCAAACTTGCTATTCTCCTTCGTTTTTCATCCATTTTTCACGTAATTTATACCAAATTGAAGCCCTAAACATCTACTATCGCGTTGGACTAGTTTTAAGGCCTACAAACAACGGGATCAAACTTTTCAAAAAATTCAAGAAATCGGCCAAACTTACAGTTCGTGATCCCGACGTCCAAATCATGCCAACGAAGCACTCCGAGCTTCGTGGGAACCTCCTAGAGCTCCCTGTGAGCTTAGATTTCCCTAAAACACAACATATTCAAAGATCATGAACAGTGCTCTTCACGGGAACTTTTAAAACTACGTTTTCCGAAGTAGAACTTACCTGAAATGGATACCATCATGCTCGTGAAGTCTTCAGGGTTCCAATGGTGGTCTTAGATTCGTCGTTGGTATAGATTTAGGGTGGTTTTATGGTGGTCCGTGTGAGTTCGAAGGAGAGGGAGAGAGAACTGAGAGAAATCGTGAGGGAGGAGAGAGAGAGAGGGACAAGGTACGGGAATTGGGGAAGGTTTTGAGGGATGTGGGGATCCCACGTGTCCAACCCAATCCCAATTTCAAACTTTTAACATAGAAACCTAAGTATAAGTCTTGGTTTAGGTTTCTAAAACCAATTAATATTCTAATTCACCAAAGTTTAAGAACCTTAAGTAAAAACAAGTGTCCAAATTACGCACTTTAGTCCCGTTTAGGGACATTTTCATCTTTTCACGTCCTCGGAATTAAAATTCCGGGACGGGCTGTGACAGTTAGTGTTGGACTGATAACTCTTCTATCTGAAATGAATCTTTCGACATTTAAGATCTAAAAACGTATAATCACCAAATTTTATAAATTGGGGGTGGTCCAAGATTGACCTAAGACTGAAAGAGGACAATAAAGGCAAACACGTCTATCTGAAATTAATCTTTCAACATTTAAGATCTAAAAACGTATAATCACCAAATTTTATAAATTGGGGGTGCTCCAAGATTGAACTAAGACTGAAAAAGGACGATAGAGTCAACACGTCTATTTGAAATTAATCTTTCGACATTTAAGATCTAAAAATATATAATCACCAAATTTTATAAATTGGAGGTGCTCCAAGATTGACCTAAGACTAAAAGAGGACAATAGAGTCAACACGAATAAATTGGCGGGAATTTACAAAGAAATGAATGTCTTGGATGCTAAACATGCACGCAATATACAGTGATCAATGTGGCTCACATTTATCGATCCCGTTCGCACTTAGTAATGTCAACCTCATCAATATTCTTCATTTTCTTTATTAGAAATGGGTAATGCTATGGAGATTAAATTTGCAGACGTAATTTGCATATTAAATTATGTGTCAACCACTGACGAATCCATATAGGGACCCGGGAGGTCCCTGGATCCTTCAGAAGCCCGAAGAAACACTTGTGATCGACCTTCGGGACCCCCAACAATTTGGGCAGGTGCAGTGAAGAGGCTTGTTGCCTTCATGGATGTGCAAACAGTAGTGCTTATAACGAAGAAGAAGAAGAGGTTTTTAATTTTTGTTTAAAAGACCTAGCCAAAACGACAACAATTTTTAGCTAGGTCATTATAAAAAATTTAAAAATTAAAATATTTTTGTCTTCTCTACAAAGCCCGAGAATCCCGGTCTTTCCAGTATCCCCAAATTATAATTAAGAACTCCAAGCCCCAATTGTCGCAACCTTCCAACTTTAAACACAAGTTACCTTATCCCCCACCACCATTTGCCGTTCCACCGCCTTTAGCTACCTAATTTTATTTCTTCCAAATTCATATAAGTTTGTTAATCCTAGACTCTATTCCCAACTCCCAATTAATAATATATATATATATATATATATATATATATATATATGTTACATTAACAAATTTTATCTTTATAGAGTCACTAACTGCATTATGTTGCTGAGGAGAATTAATTGGTTTTATTACTTTTGAGATTAATCTTAATTTATTCAATGAACCAAATTCAATAGAAAATAGTGATATGGAACCAAATTAGTCTAATATATATATTTTTTTTGAACTTTTATCTTGGGACCACCCAATCTTGAAATCTTGGATCCGCCACTGATGTCAACAATAAGAAATGAGCACATTTGTTAAAGCTTAAGTAATAATCTAATCGTTAACTTTCATGTCATTTAGTATACAAAATTTTATGTACAAATCTAGTCTTCCTAGCATTATCCTTAGAAATGAGAAAAGGTTAGTTCATCTCATAATATTGTAACAACATCCCAAACTATATAAGAGATCAAATCTTCTGCACATATTTTGTGTGTGGCCTTTCTATGATATCTATCATTAAATGACACATGTTACATTTATGACTACAAAGTTAAGGAGGGTTAAGTTTATTAATACACGTCAATCAACGATAGAGTCCACAAAAAGGCCACACACATAATAGATGCAGAAGATTTGAACTTACTTTATAATTGACAGATTACAAATTTAGTAGGGTTTATCATTGGCCTAGAGCAAGCAAAATTTTAAGGTGAATTCAACTGATATTCTGACATTAATTTACATGCGTAAGCAAGGTGTAACTAATATTCAATTAGTAAAATTGGTGACGAATACATTTTTCTCAGGCAAATATCAAAATTGAAAGTACCGTTTACTTGTCATGAATAATTATGTACGGTATGAGTATCATTTCGATTCTCAACATATTGTGCATCCTGATCTATAACTTATATGATTACAAGTAACTAACCACGATAATCATGTGATAATTGTACAGTATTTGTTGCATCATTTGATTATCTGCTGTCATTTAGAAGATGTGGTTTAATCATCATTTTCGTAATGAATTATTACGATCATTCTATCGTCACAATGACGTAGTGTTCTTTTTTATTAAGTTGCGAAGGGGATTGAGTGATATTTGATATTTGTTGTCATGATAGTTTTTGCTTGTAATTTCATGTTCTCGAAAAAAACTAGTTCACAACTGACAGAATTATTATTTTATATGATGAGTAATAAAACACAGAAGAAAAAGATCATGATTTAAACTTGTTACGGAAGAAAATAAAAGTAACATCATTATGCTTTAACTTCAAATCACAAAACAAATTCAAAACACGCAGCACATTTGTCCAAAATAAATCTTTAAATTAAGGGTTGTGCTATTTACATATTATTTTTATTTTTCACACACCTCTTGCTAATTTATGTTATTTAATCTTCTTCAATTCATCCGATCTGACTACCAAAAATTAAAAAAAAAAGTGTAAAAATAAAAAATAAATGTGTGAATATCACACTCCTAAATCAAATAAATTAAGCTACAATAAAAAAAAGATTTTTATTAGCACTAAAAAAATCTTATTCTACACTTCAAACTTTCTATATTAAAAAAAATATACACTTTTAATAAATGTAAAATGAAATTTTTTAAATGTCAATAACATTTCAAAAATTACAAGGCAACTAAAACTAAAAGTAGCACGACCAATAGAACCTAATATTTTAACAGCTAAAAAAAGGACATTGACCGTACTTAATCCAGTCCTCTAGGAAACCACACCCTACAAACTTCAAACTGCATACAACAACACCACTCCCGACATAATTTACTTCGGTAGTCTAAATAATAAACGAAGATAATATAAGAAATCAAACTATAAAGTATATTTAAAAATTCAAACAACGTTGGGTCTAACAAAGGTTTAACTTTGGTTTATTGTCACAAAAGTGAGTTTGCTTTCTCAATTAGTTAAAAACGTATGTCGGTCTTTGCACATGAATTCAAATTTTCTTCGGTATATGTTGTAATAGTTTAGAATGTCACTGAAAAAAGAAAAAAAAAAGAAAGGACCTGGTTTCTGTTTTTTATTTTATTATTTCTATAAAAAAATCAATATAAAATATTAACGTAACTTAATCGTTACTGAACAAAATAAAAAAATATAAAAATGTATAGGAACTGAAAGGACAGAGAAGCTGGATCCAAAAAGAAATCGGTATATATCGAGTTCTTCTTTCCGTGACCGTTAACAAAGCCGCAGCTGTAGATTGGGTCCCGCAGCCAAGTAAGCATCTGAAATCTGAATCCGATCCATCAAATTTAAAACGCAATGACACAACGCGGAGTTTATTGCCTTCAGCGGGACCCACCACGATTCTAATAGTTAATCAATGGCCGCTGGACCCACGCCAGCCGTTGATCACCCCCCTTCCCATTTGGCCTCAGTTGTGTGCTTTTCTAATGTGGAGCATCCGCACTTCTCACCACTTCCAGAATGGAGGGCAATTTCGGAATAAAAAATATTACTCTTTTCAATTATTTGTATCATCCTTTAATACAGTTGAAACATACATACGTTGGCGAAACTTATCTTTATTAGAGAAATGCTACAAATGATAGTATAAATAGATTGTAAGTGTAACATTACACATTTAGAATTATACAACAACAAAAAAAAGAGAGAAAAAAAAGGTGTCCTGTGATATTGATAACCAACCAGTAACAACAACATTAATGTACACAAAAGAGGACCCAACATTCCCTTTTAGTTACCATCCATATGTTTAAAAATAAAAATAATAAAAACACCAAGGGTGGAGGGGCAACATCGTATTTTCGTACTAGAAACGCCATAAACACAACAGCGGGGTTGTCAACGGCTCCACAACAGTAAGCCCGATCAACGGTTCGGATTTGCTCTACCGAAATCCGCCAGCTTCCTAGACCGGCTCTTGCAGAACGAAGCCGCGACACGAATCTCGCCGGCTATCTCAGGCGGCAATCCCTTCTGGTTCCAGTGCCGGTTCGGGCTGGCTCGAACCAGCGGGCTAAGGCAAAACGCAAGGCCCGACATGTTGTTCTTTCCCTGCCCGGCACGTGCCCTCCGCGTCGACGGCGGAGCCAACGCCGGCGTCTTCTTCCACTCCGGCGTCGTTGCCGACGAGTCACCGCTTCCCGGCCGCGATCGATCGCAGTCTTCGAAGGGATTGGGCGTTACGTCCGGCGACAATCCCCGAGGCCTCTGGCAACCGGATGACTCGTTGACGTAGAGATGCTTCGACCGATACCGCGTTTTTCTGGCGAAGATCGAAGAGAACCACGAGGGCGACGACGCCGACGACGAAGAAATGGCCGGAACCGACGAATCACTAGGACCCGACCAGAACTTGACGGATCTGGATCGAAAAAGACTCGATAGGAGCGAGAACCGGGTCTTGCTCCTCTTACACGAACCTTCAATGGTGGAGGTGGAGGTGGAGGTGGAGGTGGCGGTGGCATATGTGGGGCCCACCTGAGGCGTACTGTAGAATCGAATCCGGTGCTGGTGCCACGTTGAGTCGTCCGATTTTCTTCGAGAGACGTAAGGGGAGACGGAGTGGGGGAAAATAAGCGGCCGAGGGTTGGCATCGGACTTGCGGTTGGGTTCATCGAGCGGAGCGGCGGGTGTCCGGGAGTGGAGTCTCGAGAGCTGGGCCTGGGCCTGGGTTTGGGCCTCGATGATGGCGGCGAGGCGCTCCCGGAGACAGGAGGCGCAGACGCCGAGGGTGCTGGTGAGGTCGGAGAGGTGCTTCTTGCACCTCATTTAAAACATTTATTATCGAATTGTCAGTTGAAATGTGTATATACAAGAAGTGGGTACGCGTAGAAATATCAGGGATTTTTATGGCATTTCAGAGGAAATGGAATCTTTTGATTGCTAGGTGAAAAATTGAAAGGGATGGATGTTCTTCTTCTTCTTCTTCTTCTTCTTCTTCTTCTTCTTCTGGGAACCCAAAGGCTTCTTCTGCACTGGCCAAAAGGGAAAGCTTTGTCTTCTTCTTTGTTTGGGTTTTGCAGTGAAGCGAGAGGGAGAGTGGGTGGGAGTTTTTATGTGGGTTTGGGTATTTGTGTGTGCGTGTGTGCGTGTAAGAAATGAGTATCTGGTATCTTTATTAAATTAAGAGGGGAGAAAAAATGCATTCAATATTATGATTCGGTGATATTTTTTTCATTTATAACTGAAAAGTTTTAAACTTGAATATTATGAGTGGTAAATTTGATATCAAATTAGATTGCTACTATATAGTTTAACCTAACTCTATCCTCCTCTTGAAATAAAATATATTGTTAGACAAAAAAATAAAAAAGGAATAAAAAGGGAAAAAATCTAGAGAGAGAAGGTTAGAGAGTGAAAGTAAAACATGTGCTGGGTTTTTTTTATTTTTTTGGGAAGACACATGTGCTGGGTTTGGGGTCATAATTCATTTTACTTATGAGGAGGTTGGGGGAAAGAGGATGTTTATGTTAGGAAATAAATTTGGAAGATAAAACCTCTCTTAATCATAATTACCCAAAAAAGATTTTGTTGAACTTATCTGCTAATTGACCGGTTGTTAGTCAACCGAATGTGTGATTTCTCAATGCTTTAATAGTTGACAGTCATTCATACATAATGACAAGTTTGAATAGTCAATTTTTCATTTCATTCTAGTTTGACATTTCATGATAAAAACTAAAACAAATCGTGTAATTTTCTTATTTTTTGTCAAACGATAATATATTTACAAAGATTGTTCCAAAGTACTCACAATGTCACACAATTACCATCAGAACGAGGGTAGCCTCATGCAGATGTTAAAACTCCTTACAAACATAAATTGTTCTAATTATTCATATGAATCCATTCTTCCTTCAATTAAGTATAAACAAATATCATTACGCCAAAGATTTGTTAGTCGCTGAACAACTGCGCAATTAGAATCGTAAGTTTTTGAGTGCCTTCTAAATAACTTATTACATTGTAGCTTTGGTTTTTGTCAACCAAATTATCTTAATGTTATCATCATTGGGTGAAGAAAAAGTGGGCTTATGTGGCAAGTAATCCTATCTCAATCTTTGTGTAGTTGGGAGTTTGCATAAAACTATTAGTTGGGTTAGATTTACCACCTCGGTGGAGACGTCAATGAAACGGGCGTCGTTAAGAATAATTTAACTGGGAAAGTTGATGGAGTGAATTTCAAATATCTATTTCATTTTTATTGCTAACAATATTTAATTGATGTTGATTAAAATCATTATTTTTTATTTAATTCTTACTTACTATTGAAATAAGAAATAATTAACTCTTCCCAAAATATAGTCGGATCTAAAGGCCTTTTTTTTTCTTAAGGTCATTTTAGCTCGAAAATGTGCAAAACCTATCTCCATATACTAGGTAGTAATATCCTAGTGAACATTCAGGGTAGGCTACAAATCATATCCAGACTGGCTACTTAGGTCATCTTCAATTGAAGGGTCTAGAGGGCCGAAAATAGCCTGAAAACAGTCTCCAACCGAAGGCCATGTCAAATGGCTTGTGGGCTCCACTGGACAAAAAAGGGTCAACCGCCGGCCTTGGGCCAGGCCATAATTTCAAACTCAACGGTAACTAGCTGACGTCAGCTAGCCGTTATTTTTTATTTATTTATTTACAAAATTTTTTAAAATTCTATTTTTTTTCCTATAACTTCCTAAGCCATTAAACAACATTAAATTAAATTAAGTAACATGAAACAACATTAAACAATATGAAACAATATTAAATAACATTAAACAACATAAAAAAAATGGATTTTTAACAAAAAGCTCCCGGTATTGTTCACTTTAAAGAAAAACCACATTTTTACACTAAATAGTCAATCTTGGTACTACTCACTTTACCCTTTATTTTGTCCTTATCGTTAAAACTCAAAGTTTTCAAGTCCTTTTCATTTGAAACTTAAACAACATTTTTAAAAACATTTAACAACATAAAACTTAAACACATACTCCATGCTTCTTTTGGCCCAAAGATGTGCAAAAAGATCCTATTGCAGGTGCTTGTTTGTTGCACGGGAACGTATCATCCTATAACGCCTCATGTACTCATTTATAGAGATACTACCAGTTCTTGGATTGAAGGGCAAATTAGGCCTATCATGCTGACGTCAGCTAACCGTTTGATTTGAATTTGAATTTTTTTGGGCAAAATTTTTTGAAAAAATATTTAAAAATTCTCATTTTTTCTTATAAATTTAAGTTGTTGTAGTTTTTAAATTTAATAGTTTTTAAATATAAGTTGTATTTTTTAAATTTAAGTTGTTGTAGTTTTAAAATTTAAATAATAAATTATGTTTGGCCTTATTACTCTTTGGCCCTTGGGAGATGGTTTTTTGTGACGGGGCTAAAACGAGTCCTATGGCCCTTTGGCCCTCGGTTGGAGATGGTAAGAAATATGGTCATGCATTATTCATTAAAATATTAATTTCTTAGAGGGCCAGATGACTAAAACAAGCCATATGGCCCTCCTTCGGTTGAAGATGGTCTTATAACCCTCGAGCGAGCGATATTTAGCCTTTCAACAAAATTTTGTGTGGAGCCCACAAGGCTTTCTTTCTCTATTTAAATATGAGGTGTAGTGGTATTTCTCTTCACTTGTAAGTGAAGGGTCTTGGGTTCGATTCTCGCCAAAGATAAATTCGAACCACATTTTGCTAGCCCATTGTGAGGTTAAACCTACCCCCCTCCCTTTTTGTGTAGATAATATCAATTGTTCAAAAAAAAAATGCTGCTGGAGATTAAAAAAAAAATAGTTTCCTTTCTTTTATTTTCTTATTAACTAAGAAGCCATATTGCAAAAAAAAAAAAAAAAAAAAAAAAAAAAAACCGTTGATAAATAAAAAGAAAAAAGAAAGAAGGAATTAAAGTAAGATGCCATTTGTCCTTTGATTGGGAGTTTTGAAAGAGATGGAAGGATTTTAGAGGGAGAATGTATCCCTTGAGTTCACTTTTTCTGTGTGCGTTGAAGACTCAACAATTTGAAATGCAAAGAAAAAAAATTGTCCTAACGAATTTGTTGCGACGAAGACCCAAATTGCCTTTTTTCAGAGTATCAAAAATGGAATTGTAATATAGATTAAAAAGGTATAATGCCTGTCAATATTATAACTATATTTTTCTCTTTGGGGGGTTTTGGGTGGATGAAAATTTCCTCCAATGTTGAATTGATGAAAATCTACCTACAAAATAATAAACACCGTTAGCCTAATTGACGAATATCCGAGAAAAAAGAGAGGTTGTTTGCCAAAGGGCCTCTAATGCCTAAGTCAGAGAGAGGTTGAGAGAAACTAGAACATAGAGAATTTGGAGTAAAAAAATTGGCGATTACTGGTTTTCTTGTTGAACTTGGCTATTTATAAGAGTGAACCCTCACAGGCAGCTGGGATAGGAGGTCGCATGACATACTAGGCAGACTGTTATGTTCTGCCAGTGTGATGCAGACCCGACTCTACAACTGCTCACGAGTAGTCCTGGAGATCTTTGGTGGATAACTGCGTCGTAACACCAAGCGCCTAAGAAGACTCAGGATGGGATATTATGGGCTTAAAGGGTACCTTGATATGTAACTGACCCAAATGCCCAAAACATGTAGGGCATGCAGATGTTTGGCCCTTTCTAGTACCCTGTGGTCTGCTCACGACATTAAGAAAAAAAAACTATCATATTGAGCTGAAAGTCTACGCGTCATTTTTCTATTGGATTTAGTTAGTTTATGCTTCCACAGGTTGCTTGTTCCTCCACTTGCAAATAACATATCTTCATTGTAGAAATCTTAATATCATAATCGTTCAATTTCTTAATCTTCATTTAAAGATCACGCTTGCGAAAAACCATTGAAAAAGTAATTGTTTAGTCATTCAAATGTATCAAGTAAATGGATGGTTCATCATTAGCATGTTACTTCGTACCTACACCATTAATTTATTTGATATCTATAAATGACAATGATCTCTGAATATTCTTGGGCTTGAATTGAACCATTTGTGGTGTATGTTTTGGCCACCCAACTCCGGATGCGTTTGCCCCACTTGTGCATTATATATGGACGACTCAACTTACATCTTAATGTCTATCGCAACAATTGTCAATACTAATAGGTCAAATGTCTTACCTAAAGACCACACAGTCGGCAGGCAAGGTTTTTATGCAAGTCAAAGTCTTTGGTCGTAGTAAATACTACCCACCTAAACGGCTAAACCTAAACCTTAATGTGTCCTTATGAGTTATGAGCTTTCGATACTTCTATCACGCTTAGTAATTGTCGTAAATACTTTCACACCCAAAGTCTTCTTTTGTCTATCCATCCATGACCGCTACCGTCTTGTTAATATAAGTCAATTTAGAGTACAAATAATAATCATGTTTTGAGATAAATCATCTGTCTTCTTAGAGCAAAAGATGATATCATTCCACTAAAAACAGTGTTTAAAATATCAATAACCGTAGAACTATCTATATACAAATTTATGGAAATATTAACGGATATATCGAATATCAATATCGATATTGGTTGTTTTCGAAAGAAATGATGGAAATTTAAAATGAAACTTTAGGGATTGTCAAAATTTAGTTTTGACGAAATATAAGAGTTTCTTCGATATTCAACAAATGTGTCAGAAATATTAACAATATATGTCGATTTTAGCCTAAACTTAAGAGTTTCTCCAATATAAGGTGAACTTGAGACTTCATGCCCCATTTTCAAGTATTTATCTGATTTTTTGAATATTTCCCTGAAAATATCGA